TCTAATCTCTCCTTGCTATTCTTTGAAACTCTGCATTCAAATGGGTATATCTTTCCTTTTCTCCTTTGCCTTTAGCTCCTCTTCTTTTCTCAGCTATTTGTAAGGCCTCATCAGACAACCATTTTGCCTTTTTGCATTTCTTTTTCTTGGGGATGGTCTTGATCACTGCCTCCTGTACAATGTCATGAACCTCTGTCCACAATTCTTCAGGCACTCTATCAGATTTAATCCCTTGAATCTATTTGTCACTCCCATTGTATAATCGTAAGGGATTTGATTTATGTCATACCTGAATGATCTGGTGGTTTTCCTTACTTTCTTCAATTTAAGTCTGATTTTGGCAACAAGGAGTTCATGATCTGAGCCACACATGATCTGAGTCCACTCTTGGTCTTGTTTTTGCTGACGATATAGAGTTTCTCCATCTCTGGCTGCAAAGAATCTAATCAATGTGATTTCGGTATTGACCATCTGGTGATGTCCATGTGTAGAGTCTTCTCTTGTGTTGTTAGAAGAGGGTGTTTGCTGTGACCAGTGCGTTCTCTTGGGAAAACTCTGTTAGCCTTTGCCCTGCTTTGTTTTGTACTCCAAGGCCAAAGTTGCCTGTTACTCCAGGTAGCTCTTGACTTCCTACTTTTGCATTCCAGTCCCCTATAATGAAAAGGATATCTTTCTTGGATGTTAGTTCTAGAAGGTCACGTAGGTCTTCATAGAACCGTTCAACTTCAGCTTCTTCAGCATTACTGGTGGGGGCAGACTTGGACTACCATGATATTGAATGGTTTGCCTTGGAAACGAACAGAGATCATTCTGTTGTTTTTGAGATTGCATCCAAGTACTGCATTTCGGACTCTCTTGTTGACTATGATGGCTACTCCATTTCTTCTAAGGGATTCTTGCCCACAGTAGTAGATATGATGGTCATCTGAGTTAACTTCATCCATTCCAATACATTTTATTTCACTGATTCCTAAAATGCTGATGTTCACTCTTGCCATCTCCTATTTGACCACTTCCAATTTACCTTGATTCATGGACCTAACATTCCAGGTTCCTATGCAATATTGCTCTTTACAGCATCGCACTTTACTTCCATTACCAGTCATATCCACAACTGGGTATTGTTTTTGCTTTGGCTCCATCTCTTCATTCTGTCTGGAGTTATTTCTCCACTGTTCTCCAGTAACATATTGGGTACCTACTGACCTGGGGAGTTCATCTTTCAGTGTTTTTTTTGCCTTTTCATACTGTTCATGCAGTTCTCAAGGCAAGAATACTGAAGTGGTTTGCCATTCCCTTCTCCAGTGGACCACATTTTGCAAGAACTCTGACCCGTCCGTCTTGGGTGGCCCTACATGGCATGGCTCATAGTTTCACTGAGTTAGACAAGTCTGTGGTGCATGTGATCAGTTTGGTGAGTTTTCTGTGACTGTGGTTTTCATTTTGTCTGCCCTCTGATGGAGAAGGAAAAGAGGCTTTTGGAAGCTTCCTGATGGGAGAGACTGACAGATGAAGTGAGACCTGAAAAACAAGAGGACCCAGCCTTGCAAAGATCTGGTCTAGAGTGTTCTCCTGCACACTCTAGCACAGAGAACAGCCAGTGCACAGACCCAGAGGCCAGGACCAGATCAGGAAAGGGAGTAGGAAATAAGGCCAGTGTGGCTGGAACAGAGTGAGTGAGAGGGAGTGAGCAGATGAGACCTCGGACAGATGTTGCTGGCCCGTGGAGGATTAAGGAACCTAAATTTTGTTCTTATTGTGATAGGAATCAACTGTAAGCAGGGTGTAACATGGTAAATCCATGTTTCTTCTTGGGGCATGGGTTCCCAAACAATATAACTATAGTATGTGCTTAGCAATACATCAGTGATTCTCAACCAAATCCTACATTCTGTTTGCTCATTGTCATAGCAGGGATATTTAGATACTGGACCAGGGCTGAAGTGAAAATTATAACAAAACTACCCAATGATATCCTTGTTAGGCTGGGAATTATGCTGTAATTTAAGAACTTAAGAAGTTAGAATTTCAGATACATTATTAGCTCTAATTAATAAGTCATTCCTTCTGGGATTTGCTAGTGATAAGAGCTCAGGCAGCAGTGCAATCGGAATGAATAACATTTTTACAGAAGAAATAGGATTGCTCACAGTAACTTACTCGGCCTGGAAAGTTAGAGAACTGAAAATCTAACAATGGTATCTTTAACAAGTGTCATTCCACTACTTTATAGCTCTTGCCAATACAGGTCTTAAAAAAAAAAATGTACTAAAGTGAGTTTCCAGTTGAAAAGATAAATTCCCAATGCAGTCAACATTAGCAGCTCCGTTCCTTGCCATTGTAATAAATGATGAGGTAGGTGTTTCGAAGATGAAAAAGCAGAGCATCCTTTTCTAAGCTTGACAGACATCCTTCCCTGTTCACTGATCCTGTATCTTGGAGTGAAGAGCTGCACGGGGAAGTCAATTCCTGCAGTGTTCCCGGTGCATCTTTCTAGGGGTAGCAGCAAGGACAACATGTCTACATGTCTTTAGCAGACACTGCTCGTGAACCTGTGCCCAGCTTCTCTGTACCACTGAAACTGGGAAAGTGTGTGTGCTCCTGACAATCATATTCAGCAAATGGACTAAAATCAGTCACTAACAAGGGGGACGGACAGTAATTAACGTCCTGACAGTGAGAACTCCTGTGATGAGAGGTGCCAGGAGTGAACGCTGATGGTATCCAGGGTAGGCCAGGCTCTTGTGCCTGTGTGTTTATGTGTCCTCAAGGTGAGATCCTTGAAGGGAGCTGGATTTCCTCCATATCCTGTAGAAGGTATACAGTTGGGCCCTCTCCCAAATCCCCATGCCTGGCTTAGATTACTCTTTTACCTTTAATCTCTTTAAGACTTCTGTGGAGGCTACTTTGTAATAAAACGATTCTCAATTTATATCACCCATGGATGACTGTTCTATCTCCCCAATAGGCTGTAAAATCCTCCAAGTCCGAGTCATCTTTTTTGCTCCCCACTCACCTGTCATATAAAAACAACCAACAGTGTAGGAGGGAGTGAAATAAAACATAATTGTCTTCCAGCCTTGCTCCCCAAAGATAACCATTATTAAGTTCCTTGCATCTCCCATAAAAGTCTGTGGGCAAACTTCTGTGTTATTCCAGTATTAATCCAAGGAGCAAAACTTAGAAGAAATATGGATTGATACATAGAATTTCAAATCAGTTCCGGTTCAGGGCAGTATGTGTGCCCGTATGCTAAGCTGCTTCAGTCATGTCTGACTCTGTGACCCCATGGACTGTAGCCTACCAGGCTCCCTGTCCACGGGATTCTCTATGCAAGAATAGTGGAGCAGGTTGCCATTTTCTCCTCCAGGGGATCTTCCCAACCCAGGGATCAGACCCACGTCTCTTAAATCTCCTACACTGGCAGGTGGATTCTTTACCACTAGCACCACCTGGGAAGCCCTGCAGGGAAGTATAAAAATAAATAATTATAAATAAGTACATAATTATAAATTAGTACTAATTAATTATAAATTAGTACATAAAAGGAGTGTACATAAATTATACATAAATTAGTACATAATTAGGTCTTCCCCAGTGGCTCAGTCAGTAAAGAATCTGCCTGCAATGCGGGAAACCCGGATTTGATCTCTGTGTTGGGAAGATCCCCTGGAGAAGGAAACGGCAACCCACTCCAGTATTCTTGCCTGGAGATTCCCATAGACAGAGAAGCCTTGCGGACTACAGTCCATGGGGTCACAAAGCGTCAAACACGACCGAGTGACTAACCTTCAAGGGGTGTAGTGGACATTCCAAGGTAGATGAGACCACTCAGTTATCACAAGCCTGGCAAGTCCAGTTCTGTCTCTAACATGCTGGCTGTTCCCTGGCCAACTGACTCCATCTCTCTGTATCTCAGTTTCCTCTCCTACAAAATCAGAATCTGTTCTCTATGGTCCTTGAATCCAAGAACTTGGAATTAACAGTTAAGTAATGATAAATACAAACAGGTATGCCACAGCAAAAGTCTGAAATGTGTTATCAGGAAGACAACTGCAAAGACAATCAATGTAACAAAATTCCAGGAGAATACAGATGCAAATTATTATGGAACAGTTATTATTATTACTAATTTTAACTAAATTCCTGAGCTGTAATTCACAGGAAAATCCACATCTTGTTTTAACACAGAGATGCACCAAGCAATATCCTCTGATTCGGAAGTTATTTTAGGGCATCAGCAACTCTTCACAAGTAGAAACAATCACCCAGGCTCACTCATTTCTCAGCAATGCATGTGGCCTGCTCACCAGCCCTAGAGGGCTCGGGAATATTTCTCCGTTGCTGAGAGTTAGAGATAAGCTCAATAACATTTGGTAGCTACAGGGTCACATCTGAAGTAACTAGTCAACATCTGAATTCTCATATGCCACCTTGGTGACAACTAGCTGCTTACCAGGGAGGGGGTCTTCCTACTGGTCAGTCTACATGTGATGTTCTGTTTGACCATATCCAATACCAGGAGCACAGATAAATACCCAGAGGAGGGAGGGACTGCGACAGAGGAAAAGAGAGTGGGTAGAACATGATCACTGTTAATCCTCCATTCAGCAATGTGACTGTAAGCTAAAAGCAGACGACACTAATGATGGCTGAAAATTCTTGTTCTAGGGCAAAGCTGGGAAAAGGGAAGTGTTATTCACAAGTATCTTTGCTGAATGTTCTTGCTTTTTCTCTTGGAGGCAGGAAAGATGGAGATGAACAGAACCAATCCTGGGGTTAAGGAGATATGGGTTTGGCCACTACTCAACAATCACATCAGTTTTGAGGCTCCATTTGTCCATTCACTTAGAATGAGACAGATAAGGCAATACTTCCATTGTGCTTATGATCATGTGAAAATGTGGCTTTCCATGGGCTGTTCCTATGAAAGTCAGGATCCTTAAAACACAATGACAAGTCAAACTGAGAAATGACACCCTCAAGGAGACAGTCCTTACCTGGAAAGAATTCATACAGCGGAGGGATGGAGGCAGTGCAGCATTACTCCTCGACAGTATCAACAGCAGCTCCAGGCAGGTTGTAGAGGGCAGGGTGAGGGAGTGTACGCTGATGTCATTTTCCCACAAGCTGGAGAGACTGAAACACACAGATTTGTGCAACTTCATCATTCCATCAGGCCGGGAAGTATTTCAAAAATCTGATGTAAGGAGAAAACTTTCCTTTGCGGGAGAGAAAGAGCAATGTACTAGAAACAGAAATAAAATGGCTGCACTAAAAATTCAGAGAACATGTACAAGGCATTCTTATAGTGCTTCTGATATAAAACAAATGAATACAGCAATTCTTTTTCAGGTCAACACCTCATACTCAAAGTTGAAGAGTCATATGAAATGCAGTCTTATTTGTGAGGGATCTATGCAGAGATGGCTAATAGCTAACACACTGAATGCTTCCTTTGTTCTGTGTCCTGTCTCACATGCAGTATCTTGTCTGACCCCCAGATGCTATGACATGAAACAACTGTTATCCCATCCTCCAGATGTAGAAATTGTTTCTAACCTGGATATGCCTTATGAAATAGCTAGCTCTGCTTTCTTCAAATACTTAAAAAGAGACAGAATCCTTTTATTAAAAAAGCTTGTAAAAGCCCTGTTCATAATGCAAACAAAAGCAAAGCTGCTCTGCTGGAAGGGGAAAGGGCGGCAGGAGGCCTCACTTCATCTGCCACAGAGGCCCATGGAGCAGCTCCGAAACCTGCTGTGGAACCTACTCGAAATTCCTCTCACAGGGACGTGAGGGAACCAAGGACTAGAAAAACAGAGAGACTTGTCTGAAATGAGGCAGGTGTTTAGGAAATGCTATGGCTGGCACCCGATCCTGCTTTCCTAACTTCAGAATCAGAAGGTGTTCTCTATGGTCCTTGAATCTGGGACCCCCATCTAGTGCTTAAGCAAAGGGAAAATCAGGAAAGCATTAGGAGAAAACAACACAGTAACAACAGTGTGAGTCTTACTCTTATCACCTCTTCTATTTACTCGAGTATTTCCTGCCTGAGCCCCTAACCAAAGTGTCTATTATCACTGTCCTAATTTTGAAAGAGAAACGTATGTGTACGTTAAGTAAATATATTTCTCTCTCTATATATATATATATGTATATATATATTTGCCTTTCTCTAAACCTCTCTCTGTAAAGGTAGCCTTAACCAAATCAATGGTGAATTCTGAAAGCTGAACGAGCATCTGTGGTTGAGGGCATACAGGGCTTAACGCTTTATGTGACAAGTCACAGCACATGGTTCAGCTGTGTGGTCCACAGGTTATTAGGCCGATGCATCACTGATGTGTGGTGGGGAGTTAATTCTTCTCTGATGCATCTGTCTACTAGCAGGACTGGAATAGGACACTGTCCACTTTCCTAAAAAATGGCTTCGTTTCAGCAAGCTGAGTGCCTTTTCTGTGTTTTAAAAATTACTATTTTATATTTGATGGCTATGTTATTCTTTCCACATTTACTAATCATATAACATTCCCAACATTTCACTGGAAATAAAAACCTTGCTGTCTCTGGTAAAAGTCCAATGTCATAATAGTGCAGTGGCTTGCAGCTCATCCTCTCCTCCACCCTCCTCAGGCCCCACACACCACACTGTTCCTTTTCATTCCCTTAACTGCATTATACTACACACCCTGTGCCTTGCTCATACAGTCTTCTAAGCCTGGAAGGTTGTTATCCTGCCTGGTGAACTTCTGTTCATCCTACAAGATCCACTTAGGTATCACTTCTTTGGGGACGACCTCCTTTTTCTCTTGTAAGAATTAACTACTTGCTTCACTCCATACTTGTACCTATTATAACACGTCACCACCACCCTCCTTGTATTCTTATCTGGAATGTGTCTACATCTTGGATTCATCCTAAATCAGACATGGAAACCACGGCCTGTAGATTCCTCCAATTCTGCAGCTAGTGTAGAAATAAAGATTAGTGTTGTTTTTCCTCAGACACACCTGGGTATTGACTTTTTACTGGCTAAAAGCAATAGCAATTTGTCACTTTTATTGTCTATTCAATAAACAACTTAAGGTTTCAGAATCTATCCCCCCTGCCCCATCACCTGCAATAGGTTGTTACTAAAGCTATTTTTATCCTGAAATTTTTTTAAGTTCCTTGAAAGGGCCTTTGCTTTCTCTAAATTGGATCTCTTGCCTCAACAAGTAACTGCCTTGGAGCAGGAATGTCCCTTGGGTACTAATCTGCAAAACTTAACCCAGCTCATCCTGTAAGGGTGTCCCAAGATGAAGGGAACACTGCCACTTGGACGGGGGCTGCTGCAGCTCAGAGTTAAGGCTCCTGCCAATCAGAAATCATCTTCACGCCACTTTCACTTTTCATCATTTTCCACTCCTCTTTTGCCAGTAATTATATTTGCAGGAGTAAAGGGAAATGGTAAATTATACAAATAAATTGTTTTAGAACAGAGTTAGCTGCTGGTGAGAAGGTGCTCTCTGCTTAATTTGGACAGGTTTTAAGCCTTAGATTGCTTCTGAGTGCCATGGCACCTCTGCCTACCCATTCCGAGGTGGCCAGGCACTCTATTGTCGGTTGTTGTCTCTAACCTATGGCAACCGAAAGGCAGACCCATTAAAGTTGAGGAAACCAAAGGTCAGAGAGTTTAAGTGACCGTCCAACATCACACAGCTAGGGGTGATGGGACCAGGATTCACTCAGGCAGGCCTGATTTCAAAGCCTGCTCTCTCCCCAACTGTGCCACACTGGAGGACACCGTAAGCATCGATCCTCTCTAAGAAAACCGCAAGTAGGACCAACACCTGTTTCTTTTAGCTGTGAACTCTTTAGTTGTAAAAGATACAGTTGAAAGTATCTTCATTTTTCTGTAGGAAGTTAGTTTATCGTTCTTAAGCTGCTGCTTTACTATACATGTATTCTAAAACATGAAGAAGAAAAGTGGTAAGATGGGCACAGGGAAAATACCTGTATGCCATGGTAAGCGAAGAGTTCTACAGTGAGAAAAAAGAAATTAAGAGGTAACACAATAAATATAAGTGGTTATTTCCATGAGAGGAATATAATAACCTGTGTTTTACATGTTCTTCTTCTTTCTTATTTTCCAAGTGTTATTTTTTATAATCAGAAACAAGTTAAAGTTATGGTGTTGATGTGATCTGCAGTGAAGAAAAAAGAAATGTATTAAAGCTGTTCTAAGGTGTCAACATATTGATAAATGGCTATGGTGTGATCTATCAAAGAGGACACTCAAACAGTAAATAAAATATATGATTACTACCTTGTCGCTCACTAGCACGTGACCTTGAACAAGCCAAGTTTCCTCATAAGATCTTAGAGTTTACACAAAATCTATCCAATGTATCCAGCCATCAAAATGTACACAAAAGGACACATTCAATCACACAAATGATAATCAAAGTGGAAAAGACAGTGAGTTATATGTTATTAGGTTGATGCAAAACGCAGAAGAACCAAAGATCAAATTGCCAACATCCGTTGGAACACAGAAAAAGAAAAAAAATTCCAGAAAAACATATACTTCTGTTTCATTGACTATGCTAAAGCCTTTGACTGTGTGGATCACAACAAACTGTGGAAAATTCTTCAACAGATAGGAATACCAGATTACCCTACCTTCCTCCTGAGAAATCTGTATGCAGGACAAGAAGCAACAGTTAGAACCAGACATGGAACAACAGATTCCAAATTGGGAAAGGAGTACGTCAAGGCTGTGTATACTATCACCCTGCTTATTTAAATTATATGCAGAGTACAAGCGAAATGCTGGACTAGATGAAGCACAAGCTGGAATTAGGATTGCCTGGAGAAATATAAATTACCTCAGATATGCAGATGACATCACCCTTATGGCAGAAAGCGAAGAGGAACTAAAGAGCCTCTTGAAGAAAGTGAAAGAGGAGCATGAAAAGCTGGCTTAAAACTCAACATTCAAGAAATGAAGATCATGACTTCATGTTAACAGTGAGAGACTTTTACTTTCTTGGGCTCCAAAATCACTGAAGATGGTGACTGTAGCCATGAAATTAAAAGACGCTTGCTCCTTGGAAGAAAAGCTATGACAAAAACAGGCAGCATATTAAAAAGCAGGTATTACTTTGCTGACAAACGTCCAACTAGTCAAAGCCATGGTTTTTCCAGCAGTCATGTATGGATGTAATGGTAAGCCACTCCAGTGTTCTTGCCTGGAGAGTCCCATGGACAGGGGAGCCTGGCAGGTTACAGTCCATGAGGTCGCAAAGAGTTGGACATGACTGAGCAATTAAACAACAATAATGTATGGATGTGAGAGCTGGACCATAAAGAAGGCTGAGCACCAAAGGATAGATGCTTTTGAACTGTGGTGTTGGAGCAGACTCTTGAGAGCCCCTTGGACTGCAAGGAGATCAAACCAGTCAATCCTGAAGGAAATCAATCTTGAATATTCATTGGAAGGACTGATGCTGAAGCTGAAGTTCCAATACTTTGGCCACCTGATGGGAAGAGCTAACTCATTAGAAAAAAGAGGCTGATGCTGGGAAAGATTGAAGGCAGGAGAAGAAGGGGACAACAGAGGTTGACATGGTTGGATGGCATCACTGACTCAATGGACACATGTTTGAGCAAGCTCTGGGAGAAGCTGAAGGACAGGGAAGCCTGGCGTGTTACAGTCCATGGTGTTGAAAGTCTTGGACATGACTGAGCGACTGAATAATAACAAAAAATAATTGCAGTTCTGTATTGTTGAACTTTGCTGTTTGATGGTGGAATACATTCTTAAATAAATGCGGCTATGTTATACATCATTTTAATGAACACTTCTTGCTTTATGATTTTTGGCTAATGGCATTGTTTGCTGTTTATTTTATATTTTAGACTATAAAAATGGTGTTAGACAAAAAGCAGACACGAGGGATTTTTTTTTTTAATCCAGTTCAAAATGGGTTGTAAACCAGCAGAGACAACTCACAACATCAACAATACATTTGGCCCACAAACTGCTAACGAACATACAGTCCAGCAGTGGTTCAAGAAGTTTTGCAAATGAGATGAGAGCCTTGAAGATAAGAAGTATAGTGGCCGGTCGTTGGAAGTTGACAATGACCAGT